TTTTTTGGACGTGGCCCTCGTCGGTAGACGTTGATGGTCGTCCAGAGCGCGATTCGTCTTCAACGCGTTCTCGGCCCGCTTTGAACTCGTTGTACCACTTGTAAACGTTTTTTTGTGCCATAGTTTGATCACCAAAGGCCTTCCGCAACATTTTCAACGTGTCCGCACAAGAATATTCGTTCCGCAAACAAAATTTGATGCAAGTTCTTTGCTCAACAAAATCACCCATTGTAAAAATCGAAAAATTCACTTTTGGTCGTTTACTAAAACACGTGTAACTCAGAGATAATTAAACCTTTTGACAAACAGACGCTTGGCAATTGTTATAGACAGTCCTACCAACCTAGGAAAAAAACAATTGCCTGCCTTCCTAATGTCCGGGAGTTTTAAATGACAATTTCACCTTACTTTTTGATCACAGTAGTCCATTGTTTTGACAGCTCTCGAAATGCAAAGAAATTTAATAATGTAAAAATTATTTTAAAACGTGGTATATCAATTTTTAATGGCGACTCAGAGCCGCCACTAGAGTGTAACGCGTTAATGTTTGTACTTCTCTATTGAAAAATGTCAAGATGAGCAAAGCTTTGCTTCTGGGTCGAATTTACTGTAATGCTATAGTTTCATCCTTTCGTTACAGCAGATTCTAATGCATACCATGCGCGGTATGTGGCAGGAATTCAACCGCAACTTATGGTTCTCCAAACGGTACTGCATTTTTTAAATCTATACTTAAATAGTCGAAACACTAGACTGTATTGTATATGATGCAATTTAAATGCAATAACCGGCAATATTTGCAACTTCCTGCACGCTCATAGCCGTCAACGGTACGTCAGAGGTAAACTTCCAAGCACTTTCGACTGCTTATTCGTTTGACAGATAGATTTCATTTGAAAAGTAAATAATACAACACACTACTTTCTTTTAATTTTATTTAATTTATTTAATTTTATCTAACTCTCCGTTATCTTTTGTTAATTTTCTCGTGAATGATTTAAGCAAGAAAATCTGGAGGCGCGTCAGCTCGTTCTTCTCATTCCGCTGCACACTGAGTAAAGAAAGGTTCAAGTTGTAATGCTAAATAAATGTTAAAATTGATTAATGTACTTAACGGTAATAGTCATTCATTACTTAATAGTCTTGGCTGTTCCTAGAATCTACGCTATTAATTTTCAAACGTAAAGTTTCGTGTAGGAATTACTTCGGGCCATTGAAAAGTAATGTAGATTCTTACGACGGCTGAGCCAATTACAAAGGAACAACAACATAATAGAGGTATAAACTAAGTTACAGCGTATTACCTTCTCTTTACACAATAGAACAAGACCGCACCTTGCAGATCAATGTTCTCAAACTCCTTGTTATACGGTTCACACTCGACTGACTGCTTGATAAATGCGAATTCCCCGCTATCGCTCACAAACACGTATGTTCCTATAAACTCCGACATCCCATAAACACAAACAGCCTTATACAAGGTGATTCCAGCAACTCGGTCGAACAGTGTTGTAAATCAAGTTGGAGAAGAGAATAATGTTTCCTAGTAAAAGTGTCGTTTAACGAGCTCCGTCTTTCGAACGTACAGCAACACTTATTATGAAAAATGTGTGCAAGCATATTCTTGGGGAAATAAATAGTTTGTGGAATTTTTTAATTTGTGGAATTTCGCAAGTTCATTTTATTAGAAAATGCAATTTCCAATTCTTTTCTGTCACTACTACCATGAATTTAAACATCGCTCGTTGTTGTCCTATATAAGTAATATCAGATACACTTTTAGTAGTTGTTATTGCATTTACATCAATTAATATATATAAAGTTTAATTGTTTATCATTATTCAAAGTTGTGCAATTCGATTCTCGTATATTCTCTACTATCGTTCGTTTAAAAATCTTAGTATTATTCACAATAGTATACTTGAATTTGATTCGTATTTAATTGAATAGTACACTTTTTTATAATGTATGCAAAATTTAGTTGCTTATCGTTTTTCAAAGTTGTCGAATTTTATTAGCTACTATGAGAAAAAATGTACTTTACAATTCTTTCAAACTCACTGCTACCATGAATTTGTACATCACAAGTTGTTATCAAATAACAACGTATTAGAAAAGGTAATTTGCAATACTTTGATATAATTCATTTAGTCATATCATTTATACAGAATATTATACTTCGTAGTTATTATAGCGTTTATATGAAGTAATGCATACGATAGATTGCTTATCATCTTGATCCATAAATGCGTTCACGCTGGTGATGAATTTATCAAGACATACTAAGTAGATAGATTGCGAACCAATTTATCGCATTTGCCTATCTACAGCCAACAAGTTATTATTTCAAAGAGGGAATCGTCTGACGAATAACTTGAAATTATTTCACGCATTGCTGGACAATCTAATTCCGAAATCAGCAATGACGTTAGTGAAATAACTTTCTCTGTACCGTCACTCCGCAAACCATTATTCACTACGAGAAGTCTTCTCCGCTAAGGATCAAAATTCATACCTTGTGCGCGCTGCGTAATTAACTATTAAGACTAAAGATGTTCTCTCTATCTGTCGAAATAGTAAATTCTGTGTCTGCACTTGATAAACAGAATTTCCTATGTTACATATTTCCCATTTTAAGTTACTGCAATCGGAGTTTTAAATATCTCTGCGGATAATTTTGTCATGTTTCGATACTTTTACACTTGTATTTGCAGACTTTAAAATTGAATTTGGATCACAGGGAAAATGCACACTGTAACTTTAACCCTTTTCACTATAATAATATATTAGACTCGTAATGAAAATTTTGAAAAAATTCTACTACATGCATCGATGAAAATGTATACAAGTCATCGAGATCTAAGATATGCATTTTTTTTTAAATTTTCGTTATAGACTTAGATCAAAAAGTTGAAGAAACGCGAGGTCTTTTTTTGTCATACCAAGTACTAGCAAAATTAAAAAGAAGTATTCTCGTCATTGTACAGTATCCTCTGACATTAAAAAAATTCAAGTTATTTAGTGCAGTTCTAAAAAGGTTATATCGTTTTATCCTTCTTAGATGTTCACGTTAAAACAGGATACTATTGATTCGCCACGTTATTCCCGAAACTTTGTAATAACTCCGAAATATGTTTGGAAATTCCCGGAATAAATCGCATCGTAAGTAGAAACGGCGTTATTAGTTTCTCCGGCGAATTCCAACGTCGTGTACGTTCACGCACAACCATGCACTCTCGGAACAGTTCTATCTACTTAGTGATTTTCTCAAATCTGTGCCTTAGGCTAGATGCATAATTTCATCATCTCTCGGAAATGCTGCATATTCAGATTTGTACCCAGTAAATAGCTCAGGTCTGTTCACTGACAATTCACATGCGTACGTCTTACCTCAACTATGCATTGCATCTGATTATAATTCCATGCGTAGAACTATGCTTTCCAGTGCATAGTTAAGTTTGAGAAAAGTAGAGTTGATGAGTTAAATTCAGACGTTAATCACGTCTTCCTGTTTCTAACATTTATTCTCTAGAAAATGAACTCAGTCATTTTGTTACATGGAAATTGTTCGCTCGAGGTTATACTTTCATTTATAGTGGTTAAAATAGGATCGATAATACCGTAATTTTCAATGAACAGTATCACTATTTGTTGCATACATTTTCTAGAAAATGATCTTCGTTATTTATTTAGATGCCAAAAGTTAGCTTCGTCATCGAAATTTTACGTTTATTCATAGTCGTCGAAGTTGTATCGAAAATACCAATTCTCAGAGCATTATTTCACTCTTTAAACTCGAGCGTCTATCGACAGAAAATGCGTGTTCCTTATTTTTGGCTCCTCTACAATGTAAGCTTGCGAAGTTCTACCAAATTGGCGGAGGCTGCTGGGTAACGTTCCTTGCGAGAGTGGGACGTAAAGTAAATATCTTACGTGAGCGTATGTAGCTCATATGCAATATACTCTCTGAGTTATAACGGATTAAAATAAATGCTAGCAGTATCTGCTTTGTGCTTTAACGTAACTTAAACTTACTTCTAACAAGATCTCTCTTATAATTATTGAAAGCCACGGCTGTGATGGCTCTAGGCATAGTTTCAATATTTTTGTAAGTTTAATAGTTAATCTTTACTAAAAGGTGAACATTTATTCGATGACTATTCGTTGAATAGTCATCAAGATTTTCACGTTAAAGTGAAATCACGTATGCAGATTTTTATAGTGCTAGAAAACGTATAAACTAATAAGCGCTGACAGCAATGAATAATTTTTCAGTCGACGAAGGAAATTTTTCTGTAATTCGAATTTCTGTAAAATGTCGTAATTCTATTTTATCTAATTTGTTTACAATGTGCCTAATATTTCACGAGAATTAAACGAGATCTTCCTTTCCGTTATAATTAAAATCATTCGCGGATGTATTTTTGTATCGATTCGAAGCATACAGAAGTTCATGCATGCAAATAGGATTGAAATGTGAAGTGCAGCGTGAATTCAGTGAAATAAATTCGCCCATCGGAAATCAGAATTATCGGTCGTTACAAAATTACAAAATAATATCCCCGCGCAGCGTAAAATGTGTACGGTGCAAGAGAAACAAAAACGGGAAAGCGAAGTTGAAGAGAAAATTATGTACCTGAAATCACGTATAACGTATGTATATCGTAGTCCCATTCGTTTCCTAGTGAAAAGTAATGTACATTAATGCACAACGTATTTTTCAATACGATATGTAAATTGCAAATCGCCAGACACGCGTGCTTTGTTCATTTGTAACTTTAATTCCCTGGAATTGCCGTACATTATACAGATACGTGTTGTAGACGAAAACTGCATAAGTTCATTGGAAACTGTTGCGTCAATAATTATCGTTACTCGAGTTGGTATTATCGCGATTACTATCTCATATGTGCTATCTTTTTGTTCAGGACTGTATGTTAGTTATCATCGTTATAATTACGAGTACGCCAAATATCAAAAATATAATATAAATATAGAGAACCGTAATCTTAGAGCATCCGATTTACTAAAAGCGAAAGTAGGAATAAATTAAAATCTTTTTTTTTATGAAAGTTTAAATAATTGCTGTTAAACTATAACCTTGATTCATAGTATCTTAGTTCATTTATATTGTACCATATAGTTTGCAAAAGATGTATATGTTTGGTATCTTAGAATACTAATTAAAATACCAATGTAATTCATATACTTCGAAGCAGCATTTATTTACCTAATCATGCACTGTAAGTCCAAAATGACTCATCATTAGACTACGGATTTTATCCAATTATGACAGAATTGGGTAAATGCAATTTAAAATAGTAAAAAAGTTTAAAAGAATTCGAAAATAACGATGTGTATTATTCTTAACCTATTAAAATAACTAAACAGAGAATTAACTTGCAAATTAGTTTTTGCTTCTTTCAATTGATGCAGTCAATTTTTATTTTGCATGAAAATCTGTAGGCTACTTATG